CTGTATCTGAGCTAGATTTCACCCAGAGCACTTATTCCTGCTTTGAAACAGAGCGAGGCAGCCCCACTTTTGAACCCAGCCTGGGAAATTTACCACAAAAGGCACCAAATCTCCTCTTTATTGGGCTGATTAGAACAAAACACACGTGTGATTTTACTCAGCGGCCGGAAATGCCACCTGTCCTGGGCGAAGACAATGCGACACGGGAGATTGACCCAGGGCTTACGTGGTGAGCTGGCCCCTTAGGGTACGGACCTTCTTTCTATCCTGTGCTGGCACAGCCCCGAGCATCACGCCGGGGGCTCCTAGGCACTAGGGTAATAGCAATAATAAATCACCACGGGGCAAGCTGCCCCTCCCAGCTCAGGGTCCAAGCCAAGGGCAGGCCCAGGCCGTGGCTCCAGGGACAGAGGAAGGGATGCCGTGTCAGAGGAAGGGTGGGCTCGTGGTTAAGGCTCTGGCCGGGACTCAGATGTGGGGTCAGTTCCCACGTTGGCCACAGACTCCCCCTGTGACCTTTGGCCAGTCACCCCGGCGTTGGTTTGAAAAGGCTCACGTGACAATGAGAGGCGAGGCCTCCTGGCAGTCACAGGGAGCGAGATAAATAGTGAGAATCTCCCCCTTCCCCTCGCTGGGCCTCGTCCCCCATCTGTAGCAGGTGCCTTGTCTAGATGGCAAGGGCCGGCTCTGGCTATGTATGTTCAGCCCCACAGTTGGAAAGTGGCCGCTCATTCGGCAGGCCTGACTGGAGACACCTGGGGGGCTGGTGTTCAGAGGGACGGGCACCCACGAGTCCCTCTGGCGTTGGCTGGAGCTGCGGGTGCTCAGCACTGCTGGAAAGCAGGCCCCCAAGGGTCTCCGCTGGCCCCCCTCTGATCGAAGACCAGAGCACTGAAGGACAGAGCGGAGCAGCGCGATCGCAGTGCCAGGGATTTAATGACCTGTCCGGCGCACACGTTACAGCTCTTGAGAGGGCAGGGGGCGCACCTTGCCCACACAGCACCAGACACCCCTGTAGGAAATGCCCCCGGAGTTCAGGCCCTCACCGCTCCTCCCCAAACAGCCCGGCGAGTCCTTCTCTGGCTCCCATCTGCCTGGCCTGGGGCAGAGAGCAACCAGTCAAGGCTGTGCGTGGGAGGAGATGCTGCTGTGTTTCCACGGTAACCCTCTCAAAGCCCACAAACAGGCAGCACCTCCCGGCTGGCACCGTTGGCGAGGGGGATCCCCGGCAGCGTCTCACAGGCAGGGGCTGGAGATGGCCTCTGGGAGCCAGGCATGCCGGGCCCAGGGGAGCTATGCAGGGACGTGGCCAAGGAGTGTCAGTGGGTGGAACCGGCCTCTGCTCCCTCCGGGCTTTCCCTTCCCCTCAGCAGCTCGGCCACGGCCTCTTCCATCAGCACCATCTCCAGCTGGCAGGTGGCAGCCACCTCGGCTCTCATGGCCGTCACAAAGGATGGGTCCCGGGCCAGAGCACCCAGGCCCCTGGAGAGCAGAGCCTGCAGCAGAAGAAAGGGATCAGCACAGCCTGGCTGCTCAGGCTGTGGAGAAACGACCCCTGGGCTCTGTGCAGCTGATGCCTGCGCTTCACAGCTTAGCACAAACCCATGGAGCTGGGAATGTTCACACTCGGGAGCGAACCGGGCCTAGAGCAAAGTGTGAGCAGACGCTCGGCAAATTCCCCGTATGCAGCTCCACCGGAGCCCCTCAATCCCGACCCGCAGCCCCTGCTATCCCAGCCCTGGGCTCCCCCCAGCTCCACTGGTGCCCCTCAATCCCGACCCGCAGCCCTTGCTATCCCAGCCCTGGGCTCCCCCCAGCTCCACCAGTGCCCTGCAATCCCGACCCACAGCCCCTGCTATCCCAGCCCTGGGCTCCCCCCAGCTCCACCGGAGCCCCTCAGTCCCAACCCACAGCCCCTGCTATCCCAGCCCTGGGCTCCTCACACACATAGCTCCGCTGGTGCCCCACAATCCCGACCCACAGCCCCTGCTATCCCAGCCCTGGGCTCCTCACACACATAGCTCCGCTGATGCCCCCCAATCCCAACCCACAGCTCTGCTTTCACCCCATTCCGATCCATAGGCTCAGGGCTGGCAACTCCCCCCGTCCCATCCTGCCTCTGCCCCCGCCCCCTGGCCTCACCCCATCCCACTCCAGGAGCTGTGGCCTCTCTCCTCCTTTCACCGCTCCCCCAGGAACAGTCTCTCCAGTCCCACCCCAGCCAGTCCCCCTGCTGGGTGCTGCCCCACTGCTACCTCCTGGATGAGTAAGGTGGTGGCTGGGGTGGAGGCAGCAGCATCTCCCTCCCCGTTCATGTCACTGCCGCCATCCAGCTGGCATTCGGAGCTCAGGTCCGCTCCCCGCTCCTGGGCAACAGCCTCCTCTCTGGGCAGCTGGGCGGAGAAGGAGCCAAGAGTCACATCCTGGGGGGTGAGCAATACTGAACGTGCTGCAACAGCCTCGACAGGTGGGCGAGGTGGGGGCTGGTCCGTGGAATCACCCAGGGGCCAACCCCCAAGCTTGCAGAGCAGCTCAGATCCCTCTCACCTGCCGTGGCGTCCGCTAGCCGCCCGGTGGCACCCCTTTGGAGGAAGAGCGCAGCCTCTTCCGGGGTGATGACTCAGCACTTGGACAGCGCTACCTGTGCCTGCCCTGCTCCCCGCCGGGCTCCGGGAACAGCCGGGCGCCCTGGTTAGTTTAAGGAGAGGTGACTATCGTTGGCGATGGTACAGAACCCGAGGGCCAGTCCTGCCTGGCTGGGCACTAGAGCAGGGACCAAGCTCTGAGCTCCAGGATACTGCCCAGTCACTTGAACTTGGCTCCTGTAGAGTCAATGGCCAACTCCCCCAGGCTAGCAACAGCCTCCGTCCATAGCCCCAGGGGCCTTCTTTCCTCTGGAGCGCAGGGCGGAAGAGGACAGGGGAATGGGCAGAGAAGGGGCAAGGCTACAGAGCCTCATCTCCTTACATAGCGGAGCCGTGATTACCTGGATATAACAAGGCACGCCCCGCGCCCCCCAGTGCTCCATTCCCTGGTATGCCCATCCCCATTCCTAACCACCGAGGGCCCCGGCAGAGGCTCCAGCCCTGTGGGCCGTTCCAGTTGCCATTGGGAAGAGGGCAGGGGTGCCGGAGACGGGGCTCTTTGTGCCTGAGCCATTCGGGGGGCTTGTGGCTGGACACTGGGACACCCCCAGCTTCCTCCAGACCCATGGCCGCGTCTCTGCTGCGGATAGGCCATGAGCGCAGGCTCCGTCCTGCTTCCCAGGGACCAACCAGGCTGGGGCGGATGCAGCGCACGAGGCAGATGCCAAGCTGGGATCTGCTAGCTGGCCCCAGGGGACCCGGTGCCTCCAGTGCACAGTTGTCTTGGCCAGCCCAAAGTGGGAGGGGGACTAGCCTCCCCCCCGCCCCCAGATGAGCCACATGATATCCCAGCGCCATTTACCTGCAGCTCCAATCCCGGGCATCCGCCGACACTGGCTGCCCGCCTCCTGTCCAGCCACCGCTGCCGCTTCTCCAGGCGGAAGGAGCGGTTGTGGCCTGAGGGGAAGGGAACGGGGGCGTCACGTGGGGAGCCCACGGGAAGGACACTGCTGTGGCCCTGAGGCATAGGGGGTGCCAGCTGGGAAGGGGCTGACTAGTGCGGGGGCTGGGGAAGCAGAGCTCTGGTGCACTTGGAGGTCCTGTGCACATGCCCCAGCCAGCCCTGGGCCAGTCCCCTCCCCGGCGACCCCCCGAGAGAGGCAGAGGGAACTGGATGCGCCTCTCGCTCACAGGGAAAGAGCGGAGCACGGGCCTTCCCTCGGCCTTACACCCAGCCCGCCCCTGCCCCCGGCGAGGCCTGCACATGGGGATGGGAAAACAGAGACCTGGATGACCCCTCCTGGGAACCATGACCTCCTGTCTCTGCCGGCTGAGGGGGAACTCGGCCTGCAGCACCCCAGGAAATTCAGCCTCCTGCTTCACCTCCCCTTGAGGGCCATGGCGCCCTGGGAAAAGGACCCCCCCCCCAGAACTGGCACCCCCAGGGAAGGAGGTTATCTGCATTCGCTGCTGCAGGGAATTCCAGTGTTGGCTTCTCTTTCTATTGCTTAGTTCATCCTTAGGGCCATGAAGAGACAGCCCCTGCTCCCCGATAAAAGGGGGCTCACTGGCTGCCTTGGTGAAAAATGGAGTCCCACCCCCACATAAAATGGGGCCCCTCCCACGCCTTATGGGATCCCCCCAATAAAAGGGGGGCCTCCCTCCCAACCCTCTGACAAAAGAGGGTCCATCCTCCAGGCCACTTGGTGAAACATGGGGTCCCACCCTATGCCCATCTGGCAAACTGGGAGTTTCCCCAGGCCATGACACTGCCCCCCCCAGGACACCCCTCCCAGTAAGGCCAGGAAGTGCCCGGTGCGACGATGCTGCAGGTACTGACCCAGGGCAGAGTGTGGCGGTGGCTGGCAGGATGCCGGCAGCATCCTCTCCCCCCGCAGCTCGTCCTCGTACTGCACCCTGTCAGGGACAGGAAAGAGCATCAGGCTGGCGCAGGGACCACCACCCAGCCACCCCACCAAGGGCTTCCATTCACAAGCATCAGTCACTATGCGAGACCCTAACTACCTCCTGCCCTCTGTCCACCACAGCTCCCTCCTCTACCCCGCATCCTCTTCTTCAGCACCTCTGGGATCCTCCCCTCC